TTCCGAGCCATTAAAATTTATATCTTCTTTAAATTTTTCGAAGCCTTTCTACGGTACGGAGTTTCGCTGCTTGTTATGTAGTTATTATGATTACATCTTTTTATTACAGATTGAACGAAACTATCCATTCCGGTAACTTTCTTCTTCCCTGATCTTTTCTTACCCGGAGTCCGCAACACGGCGAGCAAGCCAGAGCCTTTAGCTTCATTAATAATGCACCTAACAGTACTCACTGATGTTTTTGTTGCTTCCGAAGTCTGTTTTAATTTTTCCATATCATTCTTCCCCTGTTTTATAATGAAGCAATATACGTCGTACACAAATTTTCTACCCTTTCTTTTAAGTACTACACTAGCTTGTCACGGCATAGTGTATGTTTTATAAAAAATCAACAAACACTTAACAAATAGCAATGGCAACAAAGTCCACAAGCAATTATAACAAATAACTTAACGATTAATAACGATAGACTTTCCACTGTACGCAAGCGTACTTTTGGGAGCAAGCGGAATGAGGGCGTGGTGCGGGACGTAAGGTTCGACTGATCTACCAATAACGCGCTCGATACGATTTCCCCTGCCGTCGCGCCTCACCCTCACCACCAAAGTGATCTAAAATTCGGTTCTGCGCAGTCAAGGTCATTTGCTCAAGAAGTTTGCCGATTACTTTAATCAAATACAGTATGATATAATATGTCATTAATGATATTAGAATGCTGCTGGTTTTTTGGTTATCGCTAGTTGGTGTACTTAGTAAATTAGGTAGGATGCGTTCGGAAATATTATTAATTAGTACAGTAGGAATAGGCGCAGTCATCGATATAATAGCGTAGTATATGTCTTGAAAATACCTTCTGATAAGCTTATTGATTTGTAAAAAAAGTGCAATGTGCCCGACAAAAATGTTTTGAGAAAAAATGTGTGAGAAAAATTGTCGGTCCTTCGGGGCCCCCTGAGAATGGGGGCCCTGGGCACGGGCCCCATGTGCCCTTATGGTAAAGACGGTATTGGTTGTAACTATACTGATACCTTAGAACTTATATCTCAAGCTGGGTGGCGCATTTACGTTGTAGATGTCTATGGGCTCCAGTAACCACTTAACATCAGGTGGGCTGTGAGCTCGTCCATCCATCTAAGCAATAAAAAAAATCTACCAAAATGTTTTCGGCCAATGCAAACACTAACCGTCACACGCGTCTAAGGAAATAGGCTGTTAAACGAATACGACGCTTGCACATAGAATTCAATCCCTAGATCATTGTTACAGTCCAATATTTTGGTTGAAATTATGTACAAAAGAAGTCGTTTTCGGGTAAATCTGTGGTGGCGTCACCAGAAGGCACGATTGATGATATTTCAGAGTTAATCAAAGTTCTGACATGTACGATTAATTAGGGTAATGCATATTGACGCTTGAAAGGCAAACGTGACTAAGCGACAATAACTGCTTTATACATAAATGATAGGCAATAACCATATTCGATGCGCAAAAAAATATATATTTGTAGGTCTATTAAAATCATTTCAATCCTACAGCCAGACAGCTAGTTAAACGTTATTATTGATCTATATTGGGTTTAACAGTAAAAAAAATGGTCATAAAATTTCTCGTCCCAGGTCGACTCAGTTTGGCGACGAGTTCGTCACTGAATGGAAAATGAAACAGGTATTTCGTCCAAAAAATGTTTATTATTTTTCTGTACGCTACGGATACATACACAATGAGTTTGCCAAAGCATGGCACCCGCCGCGGTCTAATTCGATTTTATCAATCCGCAATATAACATTTTTAACAAAAATCTAAAACCGATTTCATTAATAATCGACCGGGTAAAACTACAAGATCATATTTTAGGATTGAAAATAAATGGTAGATATTGTACAAAATTTAACAAAAAAGACAGTGATGCTTAGCAAAGTCAATTAAATATTCATTATTATTATTAAGCCAAAAACTAGTAAATGGAACCAACCGAGATGAACCAGCTTTCAAATAAAAAACAATTCTTAAAATCGATTCACCCAGACTAGAGTTGAGGTGACAAACAATACCGTCGACTTGAAAACGTTCGTCTTTGAAATCTATTCATGATAATATTGCACACCAAAACATTGTATATAGGCCTAATGAACCATTGAGAAGACAAATGTACATATTGCAGCTTTAGAATTGAAGTGGCTTAACAAAACATTTAAAAAAATTAGTTTTTACATTTTACGACTTAAAAACATGTATCCTATCAGTTTAAAAAAATTAACAGTCTCTTTAAGTTTAGAAAAGGACAAAGTACTGTTTGAAATCAAGCACAGGTACACAATAAGGAATTAAAATCGAAAAACTAAAAAATTACAATTATTCAATTACGTTTTTGTAAATAATATTACATTAAGCATTCGTGATTCTTATATTAAAAGTATAGTTTAAGATTTAATATTTCCGGGAAGCAGACTGGGCCTCTGATGTTTGCGAAGATACCGGGGAGCTAAGATCACTCGCTCCCTCTGCTAACTCCATCCCACCACATAACCTGCACAAACTTACGAGTTAAATGTTAAAGTATCTGGAAGATTACAAGAACACTTCGTTTCACCGCATTTTAAGTTACTAAATTGTGAAGAGATTCGCTTTAAAAACAATTTGCATTAAAAATAACACTTTCAGATTTAATTCGTACCTTGCATTCTCAACAAACCTAAATCCTGTAAATTTTCTTTAAAATATTTAAAGATTATTTACTACCTTTTACCGTTTAAGCGATATTTCGGTTAATACGCGACATTCTCTTTGTAATTAACATCTTTAATTTATATGTGGTATTAGTATCAAGAATTCTATATTTTTAATTGAACTTCAATTATGTTTATTGTATTGAACATAATTGAAGTACTACATACAAATAGCTGAAGTTTTTTTGACATGATCTTTTTTTAAATTTTAATCTTTAATTGGCTGTACTATAAACAGCCTTTCACTCCTCGACATTTTTTTAATTTGACCAGTTTGTATGCGATAGCGCACTAATGAAAGGTAGGCAGAGGCTTGGCTCTGTCCCTGGCATTGCTGAAGTCCATGGGTGACGGTAACCACTCACCATCAGACGGGCCGTATACTCGTCTGCCTACAAGGACAAAAAGAACTCATTTAACTACGAATTTTTCTATCTACACTAAAAAACCCCACTAAGGAACTCCCAAGAGGCTTTCTAGATCTAACTTCCGACCACATAAACACAAATCTCTCATTTCGGGTAATAAATGAATCTAAACACATCAAATTTTATTAAAAAAATTTGGAGGGGAAAAAACGAATACAATCTTCGATAAAACTTTATTGCTTCAGTCTTCAGTTCTTCAAAAATCAGTCTTGAAATTAATTTTCCTTTTTAGCATCCTTGTAATCTTCAATTAAACCTGTAATTAGGGCAGAAGCCCTGATTTTTAAACTTCTCACTAGAAAAACCAAGTGATCATTTTTTTTATTTTTTTTTTTTATTCAGGCGACCCAAGTTTTTTTTACATACTCTTTTCACAGTTACACAATCTCGGGCATTTCAATCTTTTTTTTTCTCGAACCAAGTCGGTCGCCTTCTCAAAAAATAATTCGAATTTCAAAAAATATTCTTTTGCCGTTATTTTTTTTTCTTTATTATTGCTATATTTTTTTCTCTCAACGTGTATCCGAAGGTCTTTTTTTTTCATTCAAAACGCATTCTCTCTTATATATATTTTTTTTCCAGTTTCCTCATTCATTACAAACAACTTAACTTTTAAGTCAGCTTTAACAAACTACTGTTTTTTGACTAATTAAACTATTTACAATTAGCGAAAGAATCGCGCCAAGATATCATTCCCTTTATGAAACGCATTTTTAATTAGCATTAAGAAAAAAAATCAAACTATCGTCAAATTTTATAAACAAAACAATTACTGTCGATTGTTACAACGAATCGAAACTAAAACATGGAGGAAAGTAATCGTCGACAATAAAAAAAATTGGATCTCAAAAATTATAATAATAAAATTAAATTAAATAATTTCATAAATATATATATACCTTGGCGCGATTCCACAGCGGACCAACGCGATCGTTATACCCAGAGAACCCAACTATCAAAGTAAAGCTAAATTATAAAACTAATTATTGCTGTTTCAATTAGTCCTCTCTCTATCTCTCTCTGGGTCAGTATCTGTTCGCTCTTTCGCACACAGGCGCGAGAGAGCGAGACGGGCGTATAACGATCAGACAACCGGTCTTTATTTATCTAAAAAAAAAAAACGTTTCTATTTACAAAATTTATCAAACGAATCTTTGACATACATAATGTATTGTTTATCGTCGAGCCATATTTTCAGATATAAATTCATTTTTAATATGTTCATAATATTAATTACTTGGTACTATACAAATATAAAACTTCAGTAACTAGTTAGTTAAAATTATAGTTAGTAAAGATATTGAAAGGTAAAAAAAAGGCTATTTAGTTTAAGCGACATTTATCTCTCTAATTAAAAGTGCGTTAGGTTTGGTATCAGCATCAACAATTCAATGTTTTTAATTGAACTTCAATTAAATTTACTCCATTCAAATATCTGAAGTTTTATCTTACGATACTTGTTTCCAAATTTTAAGCTTTCAATGGCTCTCCAGTTAATTTGCAAAAATATCGCTCAAGCCAAATGGGCCTTTCGCCCACCGATATGAGATTAAAAACCATTCTTTTTCTTCTGAATTCGGCGATAAACAATCAATTATAAACACCAAAGACATTGGAACGATCTTAACCTAATCTCGAAAAGCAAATAAACGTTCCTTTAATTATCAGCAAAAGACAATTTCGAACATAAAATCACACTCAAACTTACATCTAAATTTACATATAATAATATATAGAAAAAAATGAAACAACAAAAAAAAAACTATATTATATATCCTATTTGTGTATAAATAATTCTTTTGCGTCATCATCAACAAACAAATCTAGATCGCATCCTTAACGAGGGCTCTATTGATAATGAAGATGTTTTTTTTTTAAATGTAGCTTTCTTTAAATTCTACAAATGCGGTCCCGACGCGAATTCCGCTAAAAAGCTTCGAAATAAGCTCGCTACGTCTGCTGCCTCGCAACACCCACAACGAACATACCAGAGCCTTAACTAAGCTTAAAGTTCTGACTTTGATGTACAATGCGCGCTTATTTTTCGCGAATTAATATTCCCCAATTACATTATTTTCGAGTTAATTGCAACGTATTTTTTGTACTTAAATTATCGTACACGACTAAACCGAGCTTTCCGTCGACAAGTTCGAAAACACACGCTTCGGACGCTTTTGTCACCGATCCTGGTTGCCAAACACGAAGCCAGCAGAGCTTTTAGTTGCAGTATTCAAAGCGACATTTAAACGCAATTCAGACACACTTAAAGCTCCCAACGTAGAGTTCAACAGACACAGCCCACTGATTTTCTCGCCGGATCTTCTCAGTAGGTCGCGTTTCCGATCCGCTGGTAGATTCTGCGAAGCACGGCTCTTGCTAGGGTTAGTGTTAGCAAATTCTCTCAGGTTGAGCCCGTGAGCTCATCTACCCGTCCAGGAATAGCTGGAATAGCCCCTTAGGCTGTCAGCGAAAGAAAAAAAGCTCTTAAGCGCTATCAATTTCAGCTATGCATTTTCAACTGTTCCTTCAACAAGTAGTTAGATTGAGATTAATTAACGTTTAATTAATTAACCTTAATTTTAACGAAAAACAAAATCATTTAGATTGGCCAAGCAAAAACTACCAGTCGTTTTGGTAGGTCAGTACTGAACGCGCAATCTAAAGCAAAGTCGTCAATCAAAATTTTATACCTAGTACATTGCGCGCTATACATCAAAGTTATTTTTCTTGTTTGACCACTCCCTCTATCTCTACCGCTGACTGTCGCATCAGTGATCCAGCATCCAATACCCTCGCTTCTCAATACGTCTAGTGGAACTGCGATTTGTCGTGGCATACGAAATAAATTTCGTCACGACGGACGATTCTGATAGCGAACCTACTGGAGCCCTACGACGATACTTCAGTCACAGACTCTACAACCAGACAACAAATCTCTTTTCCTTTTTTCAAATTTCTAAGGCATTTCATAGTAACGGTTCGATTAAGGCAATTCAAATAATACTTCTAGTATCATTTCTTTAGTTATTGTGGCTGAGAATTGTTTTAAGGAAACTTACATAAACATGTGTATACAGTATATACAACTATTATTGTAATTCTGTACATAAAACAAGCTACAGAAATTGACTTCATCGTTACCAAACTATACAACGAAATACTTGAATGGTCAACTTTTCAGTTTTGTTTTCAGAATTCTTTGAAAGAGTGAGACGGCAGGATATCTCGTCTCGTTCGCACGCTCAACGGTGACGTCACTAAAACCGAGCTACTGATGAAACTATGACCCCCTAATACCAACCCTTCAGATTTAACGATATCAGAACGAATCAATCTTATTGTTGCTCCTTGGTTTCATTATAGAAAATAATGCGATAATAATCAAGTAACATAAAATATCACTAAGCTTTGACGAGATACGACTGTTTAATTCAGTGTTGAATTAAAATAAAGAGAAAATTAAAACTTGTGTAGGTTCGGACAGAAAGGACTATTGGGAAATTTCGTAAAAAAAAATTCTCAGTGATACACAAAGAGACAACTAAAATTTAATTGAAATAAAGCGTTTAGAATTAAATTATTAATTACCTATAATATTAGAATATTATATTTTAAATCACTAAATAGGTGTGGGTGATAATCACGTTTTAGCACGACTAGAGCGTTGGCGATACATTTTGGCCACAAATGACGTCACCTAATGTCGTTACGTTTGGATGAGCCGTACAAGGATCGCAGGAAAATTTTGAGAAATAAAAAATGTCCAGTCCTGGATTATATCACAGAAAAGATTTAACTACTCACTCAACAAACCAGACAGACCCTACGCATAGACTATCAAATGTATAACAATTTTTATATAGCTATGAATTAGCTGGAATTGACTGTGATACGTAAGACTGAAGTTACAATTGTGGTGGCACGCGATTAACAACGGAGCAACTTAGCAGCGATAAAAGTCAGGGTCGTTGTGCCAACTCGTGCGGGCCACGACACGGTATAAGAGTCCTTTCTGTACAAACTAAAATTAAAACATGTTGCGCGTGAAAATAAGGGAAGTGAAACTTCTTTTGCGGTGTGTAGTATAGTGATTTTCTTCAATTTTATCCTTAAATCAAATTACTCTTGTTATTAGGGAATGCTGTGTTTAAGAGAAACGACCTAAATCGTTTTGTCCTTTCTCTCTCTCCACAGTCGAGTGGTTCGCGAGACGCTCTGTCTATTTTCTCACTCTCGCTCAACCTAAATCATATCTTTTCTCTCTAACCGTAACGAATTTGTCGCGAGTTAAATTTTACTCTAAGGCGCCTAAAGAAGTTTCACTTCAAAAATAAATTACACAAATTTTCCGACACGAACAACGCGCTGAATATATGTATTTAAAACGTATAAGAGATTTAAAATTAAAATACGAGACGTAATTGCGAACGAAAACCTCTAAGGGTAATTAACAAATTTAATTTTTACAAACAATATTTATAATACAAAACGCTCTATTCCTTTGGGACAGCCTACATCTTTATTACGCGATTCGTTCCTGACAACATTGAACGTGCCAAATACGTTGGTTAAAGTTTTTCCTCGCAATTAACTCCCGTATTGCTCGTGTCAGGGTCACGAGGGCGAGGGTGAGGGCGGGGGCGGGGGGCGTGCGGCACGTGCAGGTGGCGGGGGGTCGCGCGGGGTCGCCGGGGGCGGCGTGCACACGGCGCCGGGCGCGCTGTCAACGTCTCCACGAGCGGTCTTCCTCGGCCTCCTCCTCCTCCTCCTCGTCGAACCGGAGTATGCTCTCCTCGGGTTGTTCTTGCGCTGGTTGCTGATGGGCAAACCATATTATTATGATAAGTGATTTTAAATGACATATCTACACATCGGGACACCAATGAAATGGAGTACTTCAGAATAAATAAACAATACAAGGCTTAATTGCGTTTTCTATTAAATAATAAGAAAATAAAATTTAAAGCCCTTGATCTCTTTTAAAATTAATATTTTAAGAAGTATTCATATACTATACAAATCTAAACTTTATTACTGAATGACAGACTCCACTCAAGGTTTTTCAGTCGAGTAACCTCAGCTCGACTTACTACTACTATTCAATCTGCAGTGTGTTATTGGCCAGTCTCAAAGCGTCACCACTTCCAGTTTGTAGAGTTACTGATGCAATTAAGCGTTTCCAATCCAAACCCTGTTAGCAAATCCCTTTCCACGCCCATCTGTCTTGGTGAAACTGAAATTGTCTCCGGACTACCAGTATCGTACTGTTATATCTCTGTACTGAACCCTAAAATGCTGATACCCTTGAACCGCTGACTAGACGGTCCGAGGTAGAGACTTTAGAGGAGACCGGAGAACAGTCAGAAGAGGGTGAACTGTCTTATAGTACGGGTGCGGCTGCCGGGGTTGCTCTGAGAGTTACATATATCATCTATATTGTATAAATCAAATAAAATAGTTCGTATACTAAAAGTTTCCTTTTTTAAAACGACCTCAGAGTAAACTTCCATAATTAAAACGCATCGTACTTAAAGCGCATGTTCGTTGATGAACCGTGTTGGGTACTGACCTCGTCCTTGTTGAGGTCGTTGTGGTCGACGCGGACGGGGGGCGCGGGACCCCCGTTGCGCGCGGGCCCGTCCCTGGACTCTGAGTTCGCGTTCGAGTGCACGATGTTGTTGTGCAGGGTCTTATTGACGCTCGTCACCCACGTTATCTGTTCGAAATCAAAGTTATCGATAATAATGTCTATTCTAGTTCGATTTAGTATCAAGGATCCGTGAATTTATTAGGATAAGTAAATATATCATAGGAGGGGCTGAGCACTAAATCAAGGAGGGATGTGAGGCAGGGACCTCAAAAAGTTAATTGGGGAATCAAATAATTTGCAGAGCAAATATTCTGTGGCTGACATTGTCGACGGTTTTAAACAAGACATTTTGCAGCCTAAACCTTAATTGATGAGCTTATTTCTAATACGTAATAATGTATGTAGTAGTGTGTACGACGTTAGATTTTTCAAACAAAAAGAAACGGGGCTGCTTGTGTTATGAATGCATGCACAGTCGCTGTACCTGTAGGTAACATTAGGATCTAGTCATGTTTTGCGTTTATATACCTTAATTTTTTTTATTTATTGCTAAGACGGGTGGACGGGTTCACGGACCACCTGGTTTTAAGTGGTTACCCATAGACATCTACAATGTAAATGCCGCAACCGACCTTGAGACAAGAGTTCTAAGGTCTCAGTACAGTACAACGGCTGCCTCACCCTTCAAGTCGAAACGAGTTACTGAAATAGGCAGGGTGGTGGTACCTACCCGTGTGGACTCCCAATAGGTCCATCAGTAATTACGCAAATTATAATTTTGCGGGTTTGATTTTTATTACACGACGTTATTATTCCTTCACCGTGGAAGTCAATTGTGAACATTTGTTAAGTACGTATTTAATTAGACAAATTGGTATCCGCCTGCGGGATTCGAACACCGTTGCATCGCTACATACGAATGCACTGGACGTCTTATCCTTTAGGCCACGATGACTTAACGAGACAGGCGCGGCGGCGGGCTACTCACGGAGAGCGTGCGGTCGCTGCAGTGGCGGCCGTGCGCGGCGGCCTGCTCGGCGTGCGCGCGCACCTTGTACAGCAGCGTCAGCTGGGGGACCGACATGTCCACATGTTTGCTCAGAACTTCGCCGTATTGCTGTATAGGACAAACACAAATTTGTTATTCGATTGATATTGGTAATTAAAAGTGGGGATGATAAGAATGCTAACTATGAATGTGGAAAGACATAGCGGAAGAAGTAGACCTAAAAAGAAATGGATGGATTGCGTTAAAGAGGGGAGTAAACGAAGAAATGGAATGTGATAGAGGATTATGGAAAGAGGAAACATGTTGCGCCGACCCCATGTGACTGGGAGAAGGGCACGAGAATGATGATCATGATGATGATGTAGAGCGTGAAATTGTGTGAATTATTTTATTTTATTATTTTAGTGTTTCTGTAGTTTAAAACGTGTAATAATGGGAAAATTAAACAAATCCGCCTCGGAACGTGGTCTTTTTGGTCCGAGGATAAATACACTGGGTAACTCAAAATAAATGTTACTTAATTTTATCAGAGTAACCAATAGTATTTTTTTCTTAAGGGATTTTATGACCTGGTAACTAAGGCTTTTAAGTCATATCTTATTTTAATTTATATTCTTATTTTTATGAAAAATGATAATATGGAGTGAAATGAAATGGAATGAAGATGGGTAATTTGAGATATTAATCAACTGGGATGAAATTAAATGAAATGAGATGATAAGGAATGAAATATAATCTCAGTAAAAATAGTGGTCATTTACTGAGATTTTTTCAGTGGACTTTTTGGAGGATCCCGAGAAGTTACGTCCAGTGGCTTTATTTTATTTTCCCACATTTGTGCACTCTCACAGATACTAAACAGCTAATAAACCACCATTATTACGCATTTATACCTGAAGAAACATTAAATAGACAAAATAAAACAACTCACGACTTCATTCCACGCGTTCCCGCTAAAAGTTGACCAGCAATAGTAATACTCACAGCAAAGTGTTGTAAGAGCGTATCGAGTTCATCCGCTTCGAAACCGGATATCAGCAACGCCCGGGGTCTGTGGTCCACGGTCTGGTTGACGCTAAACGCTCTGCTCCCGGACATAGCGCCCCGGGTGAAGCGGGTTGGGGTGTTGAACCTGCCGCCCCTTGTCGAAACGAAGAACACGTTTATATAACAGAAATGTGGGTAGACTATTAAAAAAAAGAACCTTAATGTACTTCGAATTTGGTTATAAAAAAAACACAGTACATTGCACGTCTCACATGCAAATTTATTCTTCTATTATGGGTGCCAGAAACAAATCGACGGAACAAAGCGGAATTGTCGTCGGACTTTTGGGCTTAATCACATATTACCATATCGAGGGGTGGAAAGCTATTTGGTATAAGCGACATTTTTGCTAATTTACAGGAGTGCCGTTTAGAGTATTAAAATTTGGAAAAAATATTCAAAAACAAAAATCTTCTTCAGGTATTTGAATGGTGTAAACATAATTGAAAGGAAATGTTGCTTAAACCAAATATCCTTTCACCCGTCGATATTGTTATAAATACATACAAATTTTCAACTTGATATCTCTATAAATGTAATATGAATTATGAATTTTTCAAATTGTTTTATGGCTCTAGTGTAAAGTTGGGAATACAAGCGAGATATATTATGTTACGACAAGTTTGGGTTGTTGCGTAACCTAACATCAACAATTCAACCTGGAATGGATAATTTCGTTTTTGTTTTCTCTACGCCTCGATTATAAAAACAATGAAACCAAATAAAATTTGTATGTTTTGATTGATCCACGCAGTTTTCATGTCGAGTGTTTGCATCGGGCGCAAAGGAATAGTGTGGTTAAAACACAAAAAAGGCAAGTGATTATTTAAATTTCAACATATCCACAACGCACAAATTCTCTTGCAATTTTTTTTTGTAATGCAAATTATGTGTTTATATGGCATTTTACATTCGATTGCGGGTTCTGGATGAACGAACTAACATGCTCTTTAACAACACTGTTTTCCTTACACTAATAACATTATCAATGTAAAATACAATAGAGGTATAATGCAATGCTAACAAATGTAACCTGAGTTAGGATTTAAAGAGTAGATTACAGACCACTAGATCTACCCACAATATTTGAAAAAAGGCACTTGTACTAAATTTAAAATAAAGAGTCAATATTAGAATAATTCATTTTTGGAAAGTACATTAAAACGTTGTTAATACCATTCCTTGCCAAATACAAATATAGAATTATGAGCATGAATTTCACCTCAATTTTTTAAGTCGGCAACTACCCTACTGTTTTTTCGATCACATCCCACATAACACAACCAATCTTGACTCTAGAGATATAAGGTTCGAATTTTAACGCACATTGTGCTTTTCAAATTTCACACATCAAAACCGAATCGGTATTAGTTTATAAATATCTCGCCAAAAGGCATTCGACTTTAATTCACTAGCGTCAAGATTTGTTTTCCTATCTCTCACCTGTATCTCCTTTTCACTATGCGGTAGTAGCTTGCAAATGAATTGTGCCATATTTAATTTTAATCGAATTCAATATATTCACATAATAATGGTAATGATTAATAAATAAGTGGGAACAAATCACGCCCGGTCATCTGGCCCCAAATTAGGATTCCCTGTGTTATGGGTACCAGAGACAAATAAATAAATGTACATACTTTTGAAATAAATACATGTAGGTACATACAGAAAAACCTTTATAATTTAGAACTCTTTAATTTTTAAAAAGGATTTTTCTTCAGGGTCATTCAGTGAAGTCTGTCATTCAATTTCATATAATTTATTAATACTGTTTAAAATATTAATTTTAAAAGAGATTTATGTATGGGTTTTAAATGTTGTTTTCTTATTATATCGCAGAAAACACAATTCAGTATTTTATTGTTTATTCATTCTGAAATAATCCACATCATTATAAATGAACGACACTCAAGAAAATCCTTTTTAAAAATTAAAGAGTTACATACATATATAAATAATAAACATCCAGGCAAAGAACAAACAAACTTGTTCATCGCACGAAAATTGACCCTTTGCGGAAATCGAACCCGCGACCCTAAGCGCAACAGTCAGAGCCGCTAACCACTGCGCTACCGAGTCAGTCAACGTTTGAATTCAATTATAAGCCGGTGGTGACCATTCTTTAACGGCTACGCCGGACTTATTATTCCACTTAAGACTACGAACACAAATATCATTGAATTTAGGGGCTAATCGATGTGCTTATCATTTATTACTGCAATGAGACACAATAAAATTAATTACCTAGCATGAACTCTCCTCGCCGTCGGATGAGTAGGGAACTGTATCGACATTTGTTTTCTAAGCTCAGCCACCTTCTTGGCTAGGTCCGTCACGTCTTGTCCTTCCTGTTGATTAACAATGACACCGCTTTTGATAACGAAATAATTATTAAAAAGAACTTCGCTGCCAATCAAGAATCCCCTGGTCTTTCATACGGCGAACCAATAACTGGAACACTGAACAGCCTGATGGTAGGACGTGTTGTGAGTCCGCACAGGTAGGTACCACCATCCCGCCTATTTCTGCCGTGAAGCAGTGGTGAGTTTCGGCCTGAAGGGTGGGGCAGCCGTTGTAACTATACTGAGACCTTAGAACTTATATCTCAAGGTGGGTGGCGCATTTACGTTGTAAATGTCTATGGGCTCCAGTAACCACTTAACATCAGGTGGGCTGTGAGCTCGTCCACCCATCCAAGCAAAAAAAAAATTTATGTGTGTACTGACCTGCTGTTTAGTGAACATATCCAGTTCAGCATCAAGGATCTCCTTCTGGGCCTCTTCTCTCGTTTTCGGCTTCTTATGCGAGTTCGCCTGCTGACAAAGTGGCCATCCATATATTTACAAAGCTAGGCATTATGTACAATGCTGTTGGGATTCGTTATGAATGAAGTCAGAACTGCTGCAGCTCAGGCTCCAGGAGACAAGAGAAAAGCGTATACAGAGAGATGATAAATTGAATACATGGTCTAGTACATGGATGTCAGGAACGAAACTGGAATGGACCCTAAGGCTAAGAACTTCAAAGGGTAGTTTGGGTGTTTAGTTCACTGAGTGGGAGGTGAGCCTAGTGGTGTCTTGTAAAAGACTAAGTATGCGTGGTTGAACGACCATTTTTAAGGGTCTAGTTCACTGATTCTCCTGCCGAATCTTCAGTGGATCGCATTTCCGATACGATGGTATATTCTGCGAAACACTGCTCTTGTTAAAGCTAGTGTTAGATAAATTCGTAAGGTTAGAGCCCCGTGAGCTCACCTAATCGCTCGGTGCATCTAGTATGAACCCTCGAGATTACTAGAATAGGTAAAAAAAAGGGTCTATTAAAGATTGCCAATGAAGAAGGTCGATTAGTTTTAATCAAACAGGATTAACGGTAATAACATCGATATTTTAAGGGCAAGCTAACAACTTACTAAAAATAAAAACCTCAGTCTAATGGTCAATCAATTTATAACCAAACGATCCAGAGTTAGGACTCATAATTCCGAAGCTTTCGCAAGATACTACACGGGGACAAGTTCCATAACAGTATTAAGTACTTTTACTATTTAATTTCACGTTTCTTGTATCCAAGCTTTCAAATGCTTCACTTCATTATCACGTGCTAAAATGCAGACTAATTTTCAATAATAATAGTAAAAATAACGATTAATTTCAAAATTTACGATACTTAATAAATACAAGCTTAAATCATAGAAGCAGTTATAACTGTGTCTACGACACGTGAACATCAAAAGGTGTAATACATTATAGAACAATATACTCAATGTACTAAACTACACATATGCACGCACGCACGCATGAACGCACGCATATACGCACGCACACGGACACGCATACACGCAAACGATAAAACGTCTCGCCTACATTCCCTCTTCACTTCAATCTCGATTCACAATCACAATAGATACTAAATTGTCTACTATTACGATTAACGAAATTGATTTTATACGTCTTAAAGATACAAATACGAATACTAGGACTAAGACTGGACTAAAACTAAATACAGTGCCTACTTTTCATCTACCATTCGTCGTGAATAACGAAAAGCCCTACGAGAATATTGAACAATCATGACAGCGCACAAGAAACATATCAGACAATGTTTTCAACAGTGGGAACCGAAGGTATCATTACTCTAACGCGAAACTTAACTAACAAAGCTTATTACGGCAAATGTTACAATTTTTTCCCCCCTAAATATTCGCTGGTAGCCTAAGAGGCTATTCCGGCTACGCCTTGACGGGTAGGTGAGCTCACGGGCTTAAGCTGAGAGAATTTGCTAACACTAGCCCTAGCAAGAGCGGTGCTTCGCAGAATCTACTACCGGATCGGAATCGCGACCCACTGAGAAGATCCGGCGTCAAACTCAGTGGGCTGTGTCTATGGGTTAGTTCGCTCGTCGAAATCGTCGATTACGACGAAGCACCGAGAGTGAATCCGGGGGATCCGACAAGACATGTTTCGGGCGATGTTGGCTTTGCGTTGCCCTGTCGCTGTCGGATAAGGATGTTACTATATTACACATTTACTGCAAAGACCAAAGAAGCTGTTTGATATGCTGACACTGTCGGAGCGAACTAGCGGATCTGGCGGAGTGTTTATATGTATTTGTGTGTATTTCAATCAACTGACATCACGTACGTTTGAACTAGTTTAAGCTCGGAAAACCACTTAAGATTAGACCGGCCGCATTTTTCAGATTTTTACAATTAAGTTTTGCATGTGTGAAAGGACTATAGGGCGTTGGAAATAGAGGCGTAAGTATATTTTAATATGAGTCAATAACCCGGATACACCATTCCAATAATTAGTAATTTATACACAAAAATATTAATAGCACAAATATGCAAAACCACGCGACATAAACACACAAAAAAAGGTCATATATTATAGGCCGCTGTATTAACAATAGTGAGCCTTATTTCTGAAACAAAACGGGTCACGGTAAGATTGTTTAGTAACAGCAGCATTACATAGACATCATAAAGCGAACGCCGACACCCGCCTTGAGCAATTACTGGGTCGTATATTGTAGTTCAAGTTGCACTGATAGATTTTTCTCGCAAAACAATAGAATAGTTATGCAAAACTACCCGTGTGGGCGTTACTATGCAAAACCAACAGTAGAATAAACTAGCACGTCGTTATATCAAAGATGACTCAACACGGACGAGAAACCTTTTTCCGGATCCAAAAACTTCTGATCTTCTAAGACCGTTAAATGTTCTGACGAACACTTATAAGATAAATGACCCAAAATATAATAATCATTAGATTAACAAATTATATCGTTTCCAATTTCGCCAAAGATCACTTCATACCCTCATATTCCCAAATAATGTTTTTTTTTATTGCCCTTGTAGGCAGACGAGCACACAGCTCACCTAATGGTGAGTGGTTACCATCGCCCATGGACTTCAGCAATGCCAGGGGCAGAGCCAAGCCGTTGCCTACCGCTTAATACTCTCCACAAACCTCGTTTAAAAAAAGGACTGAATTGATGCTTGATCTTAATACGTTAAATCGTCAAATAATAATAACAATACACACCGTCTTACAAATTTAACCTCGTGTTGGCATTATTTTGTTTTAATTTCAGTAAATATTGCTAAGAGTTCGTGGTTTGTTTGGGCAAATTTCAGTATAGCATTCATTGACAACTATTCTATTTTGTAAATAGTCTATTTTGTACAACGAAAGCACTAAGATAACATAGATATGTATGTACATGGAGATATCTACTATAGGTAAATATATCTAGGAGTGTAAGGCTATTTGGTTTAAGCGACATGTAACTTTGCAATTAAAGGTTCATTTTATTTGGCATTAGCATCAAGAGTTCGACGTTTTTAATTGAGCTAAAAGTTTACTCCATACAAATTGCTGAAGTTTTGTTTTTGGATATTTTTTCCAATTTTTAACCTTTAAATGGCTATACAGGAGAGCCATTTAAAGGTTGCAAGAATGACGCTTAAATCAAATATCCTTTTATCCTTCGATATATATTAAAAACACACACAAAATATAAGCTACGTTAAAAAATAATGATTACGACTAATGACCGGTACAGTACTTGTTATTTTTATAAACATTTATATACATATATGCTTACACAGAACGTGAAATGCGTTTATTTTACATGAATTTTATTTGCAAAGTATGATTTTATGAATGAATTCAGGACGACTTTTTGGAAAGTGTATGCGCATGCTTTACAAACATTCTTGTGAACAAATAGTTCTTTTTGAGTAATTGAGAAAATGAATAAACGATTACGAGCTAAATTTGATTCCTGTGTTACTACTACGGGCATCCAAAATGTGTGATACCTCAAATGGTTGCCAGGTGTCTTAAAGACAGTTTATTTTTTCGTGGCCTAAAGGATAAGACGTCCGGTGCAATCGTATCTAGCGATGCAACGGTGTTCGAATCACCCAGGCGGGTACCAATTTTTTTAATGTAATACGTACTTAACAAATGTTCACGATTGACTTCCATCGTGTTATAAAAATCAAACCCGCAAAATTATAATTTGCGTAATTACTAGTGGCAGGACCTCTTGTGATTCCGCATGGGTAGGTACCACCGCCCTACTTATTTTTGCCGTGAAGCCGTAATGCGTATTGTCATTACCTAATTTAAGTATTGAAAATAACAATTGTGGTATATGTTTTGTAGATAAAGACGGATTGATATTGAAGCATAACTCTAGTAAAATCATAAGAACCTATTCTGTAGTTTTTATAGTAAAATTACACAGCGACAGATCTATATTGTATTATTAACACAGATGAAAATACGAAGCGTAATGTTCTAAACATTATAGAGAGAGAGAACCCACATGCAAAAGTATAGTGCATTCATGAATAATGTGTGGTGAGAATGATGTTGCCAAATTTTTTTCTACATCATCTTGACTTGTTTTTGTTTTTTTGGTTATTTTCCCTATCTAATCGTTGGTAAAATGCCAACTACGCGCGGACGTGTAGGTGAGCTCACAGTTTCAACCTGAGAGAATTTGCTAACACTAGCCCTAGCAAGAGCAGTGCTTCGCTGAATCTACCACCGGATATAAATCGCGACCAACTCGGAAGATCCGGCGAGAAACTCAGTGGATACGTTGCATCCTATATAACGTGATTTGTGTAAAGAGAATCCATGCATATCGTTACAGACGCGTCAATTAATGTTTTAGCCACTCAATCGATAATCGTGAAAATTTGCATACAAATTGTCTGTACAGAAAAGGACAATTGTCGTAACTTTGCCAAGGCAATTACTTTAAATTTTGTTTTAAGTATTAAAAAAAATTTTTTTTTTCCCCTAAAACAGCGCAAGCTAGTAAGTACCGTATAATTATAAAGAGGTACTATTATACCTATATGACCCCAATTTCGAAATTACTACGATCGGTATGAATGGTTTCATACATTCAATTTTAATAATCAATAACGCAATTCTAAAAATAAATGCAACAAATCTAAAACTCAGTGAAACAAATGAATTTGAGATTTTCCTCCCTTTAATTTGCCAAAATTCCCAGAGAACCAATTCCATAAGACCATAGTTTTTTCTTCAGTTTTTTCATTGCTTAAACCGGTGATTGAGCTCACGGCACACCTGAACTTACGTGGTTACCGGAGCCCGTGGACATCTACAACGTAAACGCGCCACCCACCTTGAGATATAAGTTCTAAGATCTCAGTATAATTACTGCTTCACTGCTTTATCGATATATACATACAAGATAAATATAAATGAGTTAGGCGTCACACAAACAAACACACACACAGTCACACACACAATATAACAAGCACGCTCGCACGATTTCGTCATTTATAAGAGGAGGCAATCTATAATGAACAGGCAATATCTATCGTTCACAAAACACAACGTTATAGGGTGAGTTGTCGTTTAGATAATTTGCAATTTTAAGGCACTCGTGACGTCATTTGAGGCCAAACCTAAGAGTTAACCACACAATATACCCATCCATATATACATTTTTTTTTATTTAAGCTCAGAGAACGATCTGACTCATCTATATATGAGTCGTCTATTATCAAAGGTGGCAATCTGTGCATTTGGACAAAAATTTTTTATTGATATGTCAATTCAGATTGATTTGAATATAATCGTCTCCTTCAAAGAATACGGTTCAAAACCTGCATTAAATAAAGGTTAATAGTTAACCTGTTATTTATCTAAGATGTCGTTCCGAAGAGTTTTGTGACTGCCAATGGAATACAAAGTCAATAATTCGTTTTTCTGATTTACCAATCATTGTCCAAAAGTCAGATTGCCGGCTTTGATAATAGTCGACTCATATATGCTGTTCGTTAGTCTCGCTAAAACTCGAGAGCGGCTGGACCGATTTGGCTAATTTTGGTATTGAATTATTTGTGGAAGTCCAGAGAAGGTTTAAAAGAAAGTTTAGATAAATATGAAAATGCTTGGAATTTCCTTTGATATGTCTCCCGTCGGACGGATTCCTTTTGTTTGTTTTAAGTTTATATTATACAAAAGTTTAGGTCTTTATTTCTCGATTGAGGCACTACGAAGTCTGCCGGGTCAGCTAGTTAATTAATAAAATTAATTTTGCCGAAAAGGTTTTCATTTTAGAGATCAAACATCAAAAAGGTTACTCCGTGGCGTCACATGTCAATCGTGCGGATGAAATGAATAACGAAACAATCGAACTGCTGGGAGGAATCGATTAAATTTTAATCATTAAAACGCACAAGTATCACGAATAATAAATTGTGCTCATACAGTTTCACGCAAAATGCATATTCCGTTAAGATATAAAAATGCAAACGTGTTTGTGGTTTATTGTAGCATGAAGCATGCGCATACGCATACCGTGAAAGCGTCCAAGTACCTGAGCTAGTTGCAGGCGGGACATCGAACGCGCTACAGACTCTTCCTGTGATGTACACACAACAACTACGCTGTTATATCTATTATATATATAACTGGTGGAATGTCTAGCCTATTTCTGCCGCTAAGCAGTTGAAGATTCCGATTCGAAGGATGCGACAGTCATTATGGATTATACAATCGAAATATCGACTTTCCCTCTTGGGGCTGCGATAACTAGTTAACATTACGTGAGCCGTGATCGTCAATCTACGAAATGATAGTTAAAAAAAAATTGACCTTAAATGTGACTCTCCCTCACAATATTTTGCTAGTCCAAGTCTCACATACGCAGCAATGGACATGCTCACGATCGTTCACGATAAGCAGTCAGCGTATTCGCAATATTAACGATATGAATACATGGGTCAATGACCGGCGACGAACACGTAAACAGACTGAGGTACCCTCAAACCGTTTGGTGATTATTTCACTTGGCCAGGTCTTAAACATTATAAATCCTTTTTAATGATTTATAATCTCTAGTACTGTTTTGCAGACAGTACTTACAAGAGATCACGGCATCAACAAAATAGTTCACCTCGTCCACATAATAAAGCCATCGTGTAGTCCTAGCGCAATTGCTGACAGAATTTTAATATCAGCGAGATTTATAATTTACTTTATAAGGATGGGAGGTAGACCAGGTAGCTTAACAATATCAGGACTAGTTCTTACTCTATTATTTCAATAGTAACTCATAGGCTCAGTTTAAAATCAAGATGACTCTCCCACTGACAAGCAATACACTTCCACTGCTGAGAAGTATCAGCCAAGAGCTCGTGGTTTCTTTACAAGGGATATATGTTTTGTACAACGGACTGACCTGCAGTTGTTTGATGACTCCATTGTAAGCCACCAGCTCTTTCCTCAGCTTTTCGATGCCCTCCTGAGCTGAATTAATGGCGTCTAGAAGAGCTGTCCGCTGAGCCGGAGTCATGTTGCCTGTAACAACAGCTGTTGTTCACGTGCGAACGAAGACAAGGGTTTTAAATCTTAGCACTGGAGACGGGATGATCTCCACCAGTTACCTTTTTTAATACGCTTTTATTAGCTTCCGACGTATATATGTTTGTAATGGAATCTTTGAACATGATTTTGACCCCCTTCGTCGGATTAAACGTCGGATTAACTCGAAATTTGGTATACTTATTAAGGACTGATGACAATTCAATATTTAAAAAAAATATTGAAAAAATTGAAATTCAACTAAAAAATGAAAAATAAATAATAGTTTAATAAAACTAACAAAATATGCTTTTCTAGAAAATCCAACTAAAAAATAGAAAATAAATTTTAGTAAATTGGAATTAAAAATAGTGTAAGAAAAAATGATTTTATTATAAAAAAAAGCGTGGGGTGCTTTTCAGGATATTATCAAAATAACCCTTCTACTCATATCTGTTCATAAAATATTTATAGCTACTGATACCACGTACTGATTTTCTATAAAAGCGTATTTTGTTAGTTTTTTAAAACTATTATTTATTTATTATTATTGCCCTTGTAGGCAAATGTGCATACGGGCCACCTGAAATTACTTCCCAAGACGATACACCTTAGTTCTATCCTCTATGACGGACTACTATGGTATTAATCATGACAACAATGACTGTGTTAAAAACAATAGTAGGGAACATCAATTATTAACAAGACACTAACCAGATTCCAGTTTCTTGATCAGCAACACTTGCTGCTGCAGCTGTGTCTCCAGCAGCGACTGGGCTCGTTTGTACATCTCCATTACTTGTTTGGTCTTCTCGAATGGTTTTATTTGTTCCTTTTTGGGTTCTTGGCCGTTTGCGGTTTCCTTCTCGTTCTGTTTGAATCATTTTTATTTGTTGTTTTAATTGCACTCACTATTCAATGGCAAGTTTAATAAAAAAAAGTATGTACTACTATTATTGCATAATTATACAGAACCAGCCAGGGGTGTGCCAAATAGTTGATTACCTTATAATAATAACTGGGAACATTTCACACCATCATCCAGCTCAAATTTAAGATCTCTGTGTTATGAGTATCAGAGACTGATAAACATACTTTTAAATAGATAACAAACACCTGGACACAGAGCAAGCATATCTGATCATCACATTAATGTTTGCTCAATGCGGGAATCAAACCCACGACCCTCTGTTGCAACAGTCAGAGGCACTAACTACTGCACTGGTGAGTCACCTTTAATAATAAAATTACCTTTTCATTCTGAAGTTTATTTTCCTGTGTAGCTTTAATGTTGTCTCTGTTTATTAGCACTTTGTTGTGCGAGGAGGTAAACTGCGAGTTCCTGTCCGTCTGCTTGTTTTGTTGTTGACCGGCCGGAGCAGTGTTTTCTTGTTTGTTCTATGAATTTAAAGGTATTAGTAAAAAATATTGCTTCTTTGTATATTAGGGTCTATGAGATTACTGCCTAAACAGTGTATAGTGGTTCACGAAGACCACAGAAAAGATTAACTCCTCAACTTTGACATACTATAAAGAAGTCACAATTCAATTACATGCACAAATAATCCAACCAAAATTCAGTTACATTATGCATGTTTTGTTGGAGATTCTTAATAAGGGCGTTTTCTGTGTATATACATAAATACCGGCAGGTCCTGCATATAATGTATTAGCATGATGAAAACATTATAAACTATTTTGGGTTATAAGAAACCTATCAGGCTAATTTGTGGACCTACCAACTTAACAAAACAAAATACAATATCAAAATAGGTCCTTCTGTTTAGGAAAAACTCTGTGACAAACACATGTATAGAATCATTATAGAGATAAATAGAAGATGAAACAGCAGATACTGTTAAAGGAATCATGTTTGTGACAACAGGATTGATATTGGTTCTCAAATAAAGTAACAATTGAAATGCATTAACTTTTTACATCACAAACTATTCCTTCTAAAACTAAACGTACTTTAACAAGACTTTAATGTTAGTGCTGGTAAGCCATGTGACACTCACCTCAGGGTTGTGCCAGAAGACTTTGATAAATCTATTGTTGAGTACAGCCTCTGTGCTTTTATATGCTATGTTGGCTTCTGTCGGAGTCGAGAATGTGATTAAAGCTGATTCTGGATCTCCTTCATAGCAAACCTGGAATGGGAAATCGCTTTGGTTACAATTACACAGGATATATAGGTAACTTGGCAGGAACAAGTAATTGATATATTTAACATAGCAAACATAGTGGCTATTTCTGTCGTGAAGCAGTAATGCGTTTCGGTTTTAAGAGTGGGGCAGTTGCTATACTGTAAAACTTAGAACTCATGTCTCAAGATGGGTGGAAGCATTTATGTTGTTGATGTCCATGGGCACCGTTAACCACCGGGCTCATCCCGCCCGTCTAAGCAATAAGAAATGGCTGTATTTATTTATACTGACAAAATAAGATTAGTAAATTTATACTAATAACGTTTTCATACAAAACATAATATATTCAATGACTCTAGGATATTTGTCCAATGCTTGAATCTCGTTAACGACATTTTCAAGATAAGCTTGCATATATACAAGTTTCGTTACATTCGGACCATCGATCCACCGAGCAACAGTACCCGCTCGGTGAAAGATCTTCCCTGCCGTTATCCTCAAAACTGTAACCACTACTCGAGCTCCGTCTTAAATATTCGTGCGCACTCTACAGCTCTACGCGGTCCGCGTGTACGGACCCCCGACAAACGCCTATCATCACTGACCTGTATATTAACAATCTTTCCGAATTTACAGAAATGATTGTTCAAATGCGTTATATCGTTCAGTCCGCGCGGCACCTTCTTCACCTCCAATGAACAGTTGGCCGCGTTGGCAGGTAGCGGGGGACGGACCGGGCCTGGAAGTAGAAATGTGTTATATGAACTTCTCTTTGCACGTACTAAGACTTTAGCGATAACGAGTCCAGAGACGTAAACGCCACCGTCACAGAAATGAGATTAGTCTTTAATCATTTCATCATCATCATCAGCCTACATCAGTCCACTGCTTGACATAGGTCTCACCAATTGCTCGCCACTGAGCATGATCCTTGGCTTCTCTCATCCAGCTCCTGCCAACCATCCTGCACAAATTAACACTCCACTTAGCCTGAGGGCGTCCTGCACTGCGTTTGCTAATTCGCAATCTTCACTCAAGAACCCGTTTACCTCAACGGTTATCGGTTGTCTGGCTAACATGGCCAGCCCATTGCCACTTCAGCTTACTAATTCGCTGTGCTATGTCTATAACTTTGGTTCTCTGTCGGATCACCTCGTTCCAGATTCGATGTTTCAGAGAAACTCAAAGCATAGCACTCTCCATAGCTCATTGAGCGCTTTAATGTCTCTATTGCACTAGAATAAATTTTCTCCTAATAAGAGCTCCTCATGTCCGACGGTCGGTACCTTTAACTGATCGGATAGTAGAATCGATCGATCTTATTCCTCCCACTTTACCTGCAACCACCTGTCGTTCAAGATTACCCCTCATCTTTCCTGGCTATGGTTCAAAGAATTTTTGAGGCAGATGCTGTTTTCATTTTGAGGTTCGCGAGTATAAATGCTCTTGAGCAGAAAAACTTTGACTAGTGGGCAAATCAGAATGTTTAATCACTTCCATGGTGCAAGTACACAGGGATAATAATTGTAAGCTGCACAAGCTCACCACATGTAGTAGTAAGTTATGGAGTTAAGGTGATTCTTTCAACAAAAGTCTATATCGAGCAGACAGTAATCTGTATAAGATTTGTGGGAGGGGGCCAGATGGGCAGCTCAAGTGTAACTGGACTGGCAAACTAGCGTGCAAGGTGTTTAGACTGTCAGAGATAGCCAATGGTTATTTAGATTTAGTTATCGTGGCAGTACAGGCGCAGATTCCCGAATGCATATTTGCTTATTGGTACCAGAAAGATATATTTTTCAAACTCACCTAATCTATTGTAGTCGAAGGGTTTCTTGTTGGGAGCGGGATGTCTGGGTCGGGGCGGGAGCATACCCGCCATGGGAGGAGCTTCATGTCTTACTCTAGGCAAACAATTCATTATATTGTGGAATTATGGTTAGTAAAACTAAATTTGCATTTGAATTTTGTTTTATGAAGTTTCTCTATCTTTCTTTTTGCAACAGATGTTTTTCATATATGAGTCGTCTATTATCAAAGGTGGCAATCTGTGCATTTGGACAACAAATTTTTATTGATATGTCAATACAGATTGATTTGAATATAATCGTCTCCTTCAAAGAATACGGTTTAAAACCTGCATTAAATAAAGGTTAATAGTTAACCTGTTATTTATCTAAGATGTCGTTCAGAAGAGTTTTGTGACTGCCAATGGAATACAAAGTCAATAATTCGGTTTTCTGATTTACCAATAATTGTCCAAAAGTCACATTGCCGGCTTTGATAATAGTCGACTCATATGTAGTAAATACACCAATTGTTATTTTAAACGTGCCAAAAGTGGATATTGGATTTATCCACCCTTTGGCCATTTAGTTATTTGTATAAACAATCCAGTATTGTCTTCAACTGCGACATGATACGTGTGCGTACCTGGGTATGGGTATGAGCTCCCGCGGCGGGTGTGGCGGCGGGTACCCGGGGAAGGCTCCCCCGCACCAGATGTCTGGGGCCAGGGGGTTGTATTCTGTGAAAATAGTAACAAAACCAAACATTACAGATAGAGGAACATCAATGTATTTTTAAATAATGATTAGATATCCAAATAGTGGTTACAATAATTTCAGGGAAAGACCAATAATCATTTTAGGTGGTGCAAAACTTTATCGTAATGTTCTACTATTACTACTTTCAGCCCGCACACGTCTACTGTTGGACAGAGGCTTGCCCAAGCGACAACGATTTAAAGATTTTCATTAAAAATTTTCATTTAACCGGTGATGTGACGAGTTACTCTCATTAGTATGGACTATAAGAAAATTTGCAAGCTCGTACTAGGCTAAGTTCTCATGCGTAGATCTGACACGAAAGGAAGGGACAAGACATCAAGTCATGGATCCAGTCGGTAGGGGCGTGGCATTGCTTTAATCGGATGAACGTATCACTCAGCTCAGTGATAAATGGTTTTCTTAGTGAAGCACGAAATCTTACCAGGCACGTGAGCGGGCAGCATGACCCTTGACAAAGCGGCGTCTTCCAGCACTAGAGGGTCGGCGCCATGGTCCCATGAGCAGAGGTCTCCTCGCATGCAGTATCCTTTCTCTGAAACAAACAACAAGTTATTATCTTTGACTTGCACCAACCAAAGAAGTAACTTTCTCAGCCAACCATATCAAGATATATATACGTAGCATTTGTCCAATATTTTATTTTGAGTAATAATGAGTCATGTCCAATATGGGTTAATACCACTGCTCAGTTCGCCATATCTGCACATGCCACAAATTATTATGGGCTAAATATCTCAAACCAGATGGTTATCTAGTCTTTTTGTATGGTGGTACCTTCATCACCTTCGATAAGCCACTGCGTACAGTTAAGATAGATGCATTGGAACGTCGCACCCAATAACTTAATAAAGAATTACAATGTTTATCTAAGTTTCTACAATGATGAAATTTGAACTTATTCTTGCATAAAATATTTATTCACTTAAAACTGATAGATAAACAAACGCCAGCCGTTTGTTTATCTTTTGCATAACGTCAGCCTTCGATTCCCCGTGCTTGTCGCGGTACTTACCATCGAAATCTCTACATCTCCGCTTGTAGCCGTCTTTATGGTCTAGCCTCGTATCCGGTATGGGCGATAGTGAACCTCGGGATCTATCGCGAGATCTCTCCCGGGACCTATCGCGAGACCTGTTCGAAATACACATTATTTATTACCTAATTTATTAATAAATATCTTACTATTTTAAATTAATTTCAAGATTAACAATATTATCAGAGATTATCTTATGAAAGAATGAAAAAGGTTAGGAAACTTAAGTTAGAACTTATGTCTCTTTATCTTTGAAAATAGAAAATCTCGTATTAATTGCCGCTTTTAACATGCTATGTTTATCTTAGTAGGTATGTTCGTATGTAACGAGATCTCTGAAAGTCATTTTCCATCGACCTCAAAACGTCCAGTTAACTTGAAAATTTGCAAAGGCATCAAGGACATATGACGATGCAATAATTTCGTAACCTCTCTCTATTATTCTAATTTCGATTTTAAACTACACATACGATTTCCAATAACATTAACTAACCTATCCCGGTCTCTTGATCTTGAGATCGTATCTCTGTGTTCTCTATCTCGCGATATTCTATCTCTTTCTATTTCACGCACCACGCGCAGTCTGTCCCTCTCTCTGTCGTGGTCCCTGTCACGGGTCAGCACTGGGGACCTTGATCTGTTTATAAACAAGAATACATATATGTTACATTTTCACACGGACATCAACACTCAAGATATTCTGAGTTGCTACAGCGATATTAATTTCGCCTTGATTATTTTGTTATTCGTCTATTGGAACGTGGTCGTTTATTTAAAACTTGTCGAACTTATCAAGTCTAGAAGTATCTTAGTATATTGTACAATTCGTAAAGTTGTAATTATTTGGTTGTAACATTGCATAGAATACAAAGAATTTAGAATTAAATTTTTCTTCCTGTTTAGGCTTTCTTGATTACACAGGTACATACCTAGACCTGCTAGCTCTGTCTGCTGGAGGTGGACTTCTGTTTCTATACCTTCGAGGAGAAGGAGACCTTGAGGGTCGGACCCTGTAGAAACAATAGTCGTTATGGTAGTCTAGAACTGTAGTGTTTGAGAATAGCCCAGGATTAGTACATAGCTGTAGAAGACTGTGTCTATAGTAGTGTAGTATGGGACTAGGGGGCTACATGTTGGCCGGATCTGTGTCTGTTTGTGTATGAGAAGAGTTCGGGATCAGTACAGAGCTGCAGAGGACTGTGTCTATAGTAGTGTAGTACGAGACTGGAGGATCAGTGTCTGTTTGTTGTGGGTACATACCGTTTACCATCATGCTCGTTTTCCCTGAGGTGTCTTCGAGGACGGTTTCTTCTCTCCCACGACCGAGATCGACGTCTTCGACGATCATCTTTGTCACGTAGCTAAAAATGAAGAACTTGTCTTTCATTTTCTTTATTTCCAGGGTTTCCTTAGTTTTTTATTTACTTTATTTTTGTATTAATCAATATTAAGCAAATATATACAGAAGTACAGATGTGCGGTACAGTGCTCAATGATATTTACCGCGCCATTGCAGCCGTGGAGCGGACTATGTCATTTTTATTGCAAAGTTGGATGAACGAGCTTACAGCCCTTCTGTGGTTGAGTTGTCATCACATCAAAAAATACCACAAGCCATCTTAATATACGAAGGCCAAACTCAAGTTTCTCAAAGTGATAAGACGATCCTATCGTAGAGATCAGAGTATAGGAACGTTCTGACGGCAGATTCCATGAGAACATGTGTCACAACTTATTGTTTCAGCCTAATTGGTCATTAAACGTAATTATTAGTTTGTTTTAATTAATATTCCTTAATGATAATAAATAAGGTTGAGTAAATGATTGTTTGCATTGTTCAAATCCACACAAACCAGTGTTTACTGAACTACTGAGAAACGGGAAATGATTCACAGAATGCATTAGTAGGGAGGGAAACTGAAGTTTCTCTCGGCTCGTGTACGTACAGAATCAGCGCGCCTCTCTCTTCTCCGCGGAGGTTGGTATACAGGCTCCTCCAGCAGCTCAGTCGGCAGAACCTGTATTACAAATTCACAATTATTGACATTTTAGAATTGCATCACACATTTTATTCAGGGACTACTGACTGATTTTATTCAGTGGTGTTAGTAAATTTGAGAGTCCTCCATATATTAATGCAAAATGAGTTGAAAACATTTTTTTTCCTAATTATTCTAGTAACCTCGAGGGGTTATTCTTGATTCACCGAGCTAGTATGTGAGCTCACGGGGCTCAAACCGGGAGTGTTGCTAGCTCTAGCCCTAGCAAGAGACGTGCTTCGCAGAATCTACCACCGGATCGGAAACGCGACCCACTGAGAAGATCCGGCGAGAAGCTCAGTGGGCTGTGTCTATGGGCTAATTTACTCGCCGATGCCTTCGTCGCAAGCGACGGGCGCGGCGCGGACGGTGAACTGGGGTGACCGGTTAAAAACATGAGGTAATTTCTACTGCATTGTAAAAATATAATGTATCATCAATTAAAGTATTTTCGGATTTCGATTGATTATTGATGTTCATCTATATTGGCAATGGTTACAGGCACAGCCAAATTGCGATCTACCTTCAAGAACTTACAATCCTGTGAACCATATAATGGTAGGCTATGTTGATATATTTATGTACTACTATTTATTTCAGTAATTGAGAGCAATCTTTTCTAAACAATTTAAGATCTTTAATACTGATGATACCTTTACGAGTGTCTGCTCGGTCGGAGGCGCAGCCCTAGGTACGACCACGCGGTGCCGGAGTGGAGGAGCAGGCCCATTGGTAGCTGTAATGAAAATAAACAATCTTAGGAACGTTTCCTATCATTCATTCCGTACATGAAAAATAAATAAAGTTAAATATTGTATAATAATCGGCACGAGTCTTGAGCTGTCGACAAAAGAGTGAGGGGCCGTCTACGCATCGTGCACTTAGGGTCATAATAAATGGTTTACTCATTTAATATATTTTTTTATAATATAATTAAATTAACTTCGTTCAATTTGGGATTTTTACTAAGTATTAGTAACTTTATAATACAATAGTTTTGTCCAGGGTTTCGCTCGTCTTATATTAAAAAATAATCTTATTTGGATAAATACTTACCAAAAATAATATAAATTAAATGAGGTTGTTAAAAAAAATGTGTGGCTAATAAAATTGGACCAAAGTGTAGTTTGCTGCAGTGATACGCAAGCACAACATAGGGAACTAATCACAGCTGACGGCATGTAACGCGACGCGGGAAGATCCAATCGCGTAATCAATATGGCTGGCGCCACCCTTTGCCTCGTTCCCGCAAACAGACCCGAAAATGGACTTCTACACATGTCAAGGTCAGAGCTCAAGACTCGTGCCGATTATTATACATATTTGCCGTTGGAGTGCTTTTAAAGCAGTGATTATCAAACTTATTTCTTTTACCGCCCCCTTTGAAAATCAATTATTTTTCAGCGCCCCCCATTTTTTATACACCCCTAAAACTTTAAAACCACAATTTCATTAATTTAATTAATAAATGTTGTATTAATTTTAGTAAATGTAGTACCACGTAGTACATATATATTTGTAGATACTATTATTGTTTCTTCATATTATTATGTGTCCGTACATTGCTAAAGAGCGTGTATTTACAAATTTGCAAAGTAAAAATGAATTCTTCTCATCAATATGTTTGTTTAAATTCAGAATTACCAAAATAAATTGCTAGTTCACTGTACTATTACTATGCTAATTTATTAGAACGAAACTATTTTTGTTGAATATCTTTCTCATTAATATAAGATTCTCATCATAAGATAATTAAAAATTTATATTTCGACTANGCGAACAACTGATGAGATTAAAGCAAGAAGTTGAGAGAAAGCGGCCGGAATTAATCAACAGAAGGGGTGTGGTTTTTCATCACGATAACGCTAGACCTCACACATCTTTAGCCACTCAGCAAAAATTAAGAGAGCTTGGCTGGGAGGTGTTACCTTGCACCTTCAGATTTCTACCTGTTTCGGTCTCTTCAGAATTCTTTAGGTAGTGTCAGGTTAACATCACGAGAGGACTGCCAAAACCAATTGTCGCGGTATTTTGATCAGAAGCCCCAAATTTTCTATAGCAATGGGATCATGTCCCTACCTACAAGATGGCAAAAAGTTATCGAACAAAATGGTACCGACATACTTTACTTAAATGCGAATAAACTATATTAAAAAATGTTGTGAATGTTCCTAAAAAATGCGAAGAAACTTTTTCCCCAACGTATTATTATATAGAAATAAAATAGTAAACAATGTTTACAATAAGTGAGCTGTTTAGGATTACTATACTATTTGACATTGGACGGTATTGGGTAAATTAAGTAAATTAAATTACAAATTTTACAGCGCCCCCCTAACCCACATCAACGCCCCCCATTTTTTCCTGGGCCCCTTAACGCCCCCCTCTAGGTTTCAAACGCCCCCCAGGGGGCGTTATCGCCCACTTTGAGAAAGACTGTTTTAAAGCAATTAGCGTGAGCACAATAAGTGAGTGTCATGTCAAGATCCTGTTACCCCTCTCACAGATCAAGCTTTGGGGTGATATGTTCATTATATAATTATTTTACAATTACAGTCATCAGTTTCAAAGTCTCTGACATAATTATTTAACGCTTCTTAATGCTTTTTAACACTTAAACAGATATGTTAATAATTATGTTCTAAGACAAGCTATTTTTGGGTGCCTTGTTGTTTAAGCAATTCACTATTTTGACTGTAGGTTGATATCAATTATATACCAAACATGTCATATAAAATAATTATTCATTGTATATTAGATTGATTAAACAAATGCAAATACATATATTACAGCTTAACATTTGTTATAAAATGTATGTACATTTTAGTGCCTTCAATAAATATGATTGCGATAAATTTGAACTTCGAATTTATACATGAAACCCCAAATAAGTGTATTTGCATGTTTTTCAAGTAAAATTATAACTATCGTAACAGATCCTTAACTAAAATTACTAAAATTAAAATGTTACGTATTTTACCATGGTTCTCCAACTGGGGTTCTTTCTCAGGTTCTGGTAGTGGAGGAGTAGGCTTCTCTGGCTCCCGACTATGTTTCAGATACTCTTGTTTCTCAAGGGAACCAAACAGCATTTCAACAAATGGTTTGGTTTCTACATTAGAGAATAAGAATTATAAAACTGTTCTTAATGTGTTTAACATAATTTATAAGGAGTTAATAATAATAATAATAATAATAATAAAGTAATGTTTTTTTACACAGCATTAAATAACATGATTGTTTTTTTTTAAATGACTTAAGTACTACTATATAAATGAGTGTCTTAGGCATGATGTGGGAGGAGCTAGAACAGACTGCCAAAGACTGATGTAAATGGAATGATTTGATTAGAGCCCTACACCCCAGCAGAGGGTTATTACCCTTTCCTTCTTATTGGAAGGAAGTAAGGAAAGAAAGAAGAAGAATATAAATGTGGTGTTGATCATTCATTGATTGAATTAATTCATCATACCCTGCTGGAGAAACACATCGAGTTGATCCATCATCACCTCACGGAGCTCGTCCACGGGTTTGTCCTTCTTGACAAGAGCGTAAACATACTTGGCGAGGGCTGCTGGATCTGCATCACAACTGTAACATAAAGATATACTGTGTTAAGCAAAAGCCTTTACACATTCCAGTTTGGTTGTTGTCAGTTCAGACTTTAGAATCAATTTATTTTACTACTATTTACAAAAAACAAATCAGTAATGTCATTGTGTCAAGTATTGATTCCAATTATTGCAGAAGAATAAAATAAAAACAGAAAAAATAATTATAACTAGAATGTAAAGTTTTAAATTATCATTAATGCAGTCAGGTAGAAATAAGATCAACCAAAAGGTCTACCTGGTCAGGCCCAGTTGGTTACCGAAACCAGTAAAACACACAACATGACTGACAGTCTGACACCACCTATTTTGAGACATAAATCAGCTCCATCGCATTGTATAATGGCTGTATGCTGTTTAAATTACATTGTATTATGGCTTCAGAGCAGGATTATGGTATCTAATCTAAGGCTTAAAATAGCTTCACTACTGTCTATTACACTCTTATTTTAAATTTCACTATAGTGATGTCTGTTTGTACTTGAAATTAAACATGTATAGATACTTTAATTAGTAATTTTATTTATTCTAGTACATTACTTTTGTTTTACTTTGTCACCATAACCTGACTTCCAAACTTTGTGTGAGCAGACTGTTAAAACATCAATAATTCCTAGCTGGGTACCGTAAATTACAATATAACAACAATAATAAATTATAAATTGTGTCTTTTTTATTGTTTTCTGTATGGAAACAATTATTTTCCAAATTTTATTGAAATTTTTTAGAGCTGCAGCTTGGTACACAACGAGAAAGGTTTCAGAATGTTTTTTTGTATTCTAAACTTACCATAACAGTTAGAAAAAAAAAAACAAAAAGCTGAACACCCCAACTAGAAAACCTCTCTTTCAACTACATTATGCATCATCCTAAATTGTGTCCAACTATTTGTGATTAGTTTTACGTTTTAAACTGAATAAATAATAAAAACGTTACTTCTTTGGTACTGAGATATTAATATCTATTTTTGGTCAAACTAATGCACCATGTGAAATTAACATGTGTGAATCATAGCAAAGCGAGGTTTATTTTTAGTGTTTCACTAAGACAAAAAGCTAACTTTAACAGTTGTGTGGGAGTCATCTAAAATTATACCTTGTAATTGTTTTATTGGAAATAGATTTCAGACTATATATTTCACTATATCTGTTGATCTACCCAGGTGGTGGCACCAAGATGTGGATGCTGCCAAAGTAAGGCTTACGTCTGTTTTATTATGTAAAGAAGTTGATTATATTCTATACTTATTCATGATAGATAGAATGTGATTTCTATATACATAGCAAGAATAATGTAAATCCTATAGTTGTATGGAACATTGTGTACTTAGCACATTTGTCCTGATTTGTGCGCGCATGGGTTAATTACAAGCCAAATTTTGTACTTGTTGTTATTTATTGCATATCTTTTCTTTTTTAACTTGCAATGTGTATTGTGTGCATAATAAATAAATAAAATAATGTGATGCATTAGAATAAAAACTGCACAGGTACATATGAATTGCCTAATATAGGAGCACTTTTGAGAAGTTTCGAAGTTTGAAAAACACAAAGTTTCACGTGCATTAATTAACATAAAAACTAAAAATAATATAAGTAAGAATTACGTTTGAGAATTAAAAATATATAATGCTACATACAACAAATCATAGTAAGTTCTTTCAGAAAAATGTTTTCAAAGTTGTTGTATTTTGTCATTTTAAAATAGTATTGTGAATTCCCTAATTCTTTGAAAAATCTTTTGGTATGTGCTTTTTAATAGCACTTTTTTTCTTAAAAATACAAACACATGTCGCCATTCATGCAAATTTAGGTTAAAAGAGATTTCACATTTAAACAATAACTTTTGACTTTTGGTTTACATATTTTTGGGAAAATGGAATTTGGCAATTTTTGAATTGCAATACTATTTACGGGTCACTCTTTCATGCGGTTTGGTTTAAAAATCTCAATTTCAGACTAAAGCAATTTTCTATTTCTACATCTTTCACCCTCCTTAGTAACATGTTTTATTTTAATTAATAAAACGTTTCTCCCGGAACTGATTTTTATGGGTCACATGTCCGTCCATAAGTAAATGAACTTACTGATTACAATTTACTTTTGAATACTACTATTGGTAATTTAAATGATTATTATAATTTTGGCTGTAACGTAACCGCTCTCCAAGGCGAAATGGAGATAATTTTGGGGAAAAAAAGATGTTTATTAAGTTAACAGAAAGTGCTTATCTTTCTGTAAAATATTTCGTGAGCTCACACATGTAACGAAGGCGGTCTAGTACTGTTTGGGTCTGTTAAAAATGTGCACGCCACAGTGTTTACATAATTTTTTTATTGGAGAAACAGTGATATAGTCAGATCAATGAGCAAAATCTAGTTTTATATAGGAATTTAGCGACTTTTAACACATGTATTACTTACTAGTAATGGCGCTGTAATGGCGTAATCAATGTTTGATGGAAAAATTCACCTTGGCAACAAGTCTGAAAACCGTATCTACATGTGAAATTGACAACCAGTTCGACTTCGCGCCCACCCCAAGCGTAATTTGACACCTAAGTCACGTGACCAGTTTAAGCAAATACAACAAATTTATATGCAAAATCACGTATTTTACGGTTGTAAAAATGAAAATATGACGTGGAAATCGTTAAATATGCAAAATTACAAAATAAATAAGTCGAAAATATGGCATCGTGTACTCACAGTGGTTCCAATATGGACGTCAACCACGATTTGAAAGCGTCCGGATTTTCTATTAACATATCGGAAAAACTAAAAAAATCAACAATACTTTTATTTGTAATAATCCATTCAAAAGTGCACTTGATCACTTAAATATCTAATTAATTGTTTATAATATTATCGACAATTAGTTTTCTAATATAAATTACGTCTGCACGTAGTTATCACACTTCACAATTTTTTTTGCCTAAAAAGTGTTACTAGACATCAAACTTCTGATTCCGGGGAACTGTCGTGTAACATTCTAGAAATATTTGCGATATTTTTTTTATCTTAATTCCGGAAAAAAAGTGTGTGTGTCCGCTCCGACGCACGACTGGAGTTTACTGGATATAAATATAAATTTGTGTCAGTTGAATACAGTAAAATATGGAAGTTACGTATTCTAGTGAGAATGATCCGGGAGTTGCGGAACACGTGGATGCGGTAATTAAGTAAGTCTATATAATTCACTTTTACAATTAATATATAAGTTGTCCATTCACTGATAGAAGGAATTGTTTATATTTAATAAGCTTTATTAATAAATGATTTGTAGCGGGTTATATTCGGGTATCAACCCACTAACAGTTGATACGTTCAGGAATCGAACCCGAACGGCGTCCGGCCACAAGCAAAACGATGTCGGTAAATTAAACGAAACAATACGAGAAATAGTTCTATATTACGACAACACGATACACTACAGATTATTAACAAATTAACGAGACACAAAACAAACGACTAACAAATATATGAAAATACAATAATGAGAGAAACGCGCGATCAGTACGAGGCTTTGTGGCGGACTGCCGGCGCAGCAGCCCGGCGTCACCTGCGATAACGCGGCCGCGCGTTGGCTCCTGATTGGCGCGCGCACGCATCACCTGGCAATGGTGATGCGTGCGCGCGCCAATCAGGAGCCAATCAGGCGCATAACGCATTTCGTGTGACATGCTATACTCTCTAGTACGATTTTGGTCCCCATAATTTTCATACCCCGGGCCTATATATGTAAATCGATTCTTAAGGAGTAAACTCCAAAAAAAAAATTCATTCCTTTTTTAAGCTAACTTTTTTCACGTCAAGCTAATTATTATTAAATAAAAGTATATATATTTGTATAATGTATTATAATATAAAGTAAGCTTAAGTATGTGAGTATATATATATGTGTGTGTGTGTGTGTGTGTGTGTGTGTGTGTATTTGTATGTATGTATATTGTTTTGAATCTTGTAATTTGTATATATTATTATACGTAATGTTTACTGTATGCACTAGGTTTGTGTTCCTCATTCTTCTTTCCTTTTGCGGGCCTACAGGAAGAGATTTCAACATGAAATAAGTAATGCCCTTGTACTCTGTATCCTTATTGTCGTGTTTCTTCTAACGGCTGTGTGTACAAAATATATTAAATAAATATTAAATGAAATATTGTTATTTAATTCACTTCTTCTTCTTCTTCGTCGTTTTATTCATTGCTGAAGGTCGTGTCCCTGAAACTTGACCGTGGCCGTCTCGTAGGCTATTTCCATCTCGTCCGGTCACTTTAGTGAAACAAATTAGCTTGATTTTTTAATAGTCTACTTAGATGAGATAATTTTTGTACTCAATGATAAAACAATAGATTTTTTAATACAAACAATTTGATAAATTATATTTTCAGTGATAATTTATTTTTGTAAGCTTGTAGCTTTGTAAGCCTAATAGATCTTCGGGTTTAAGCATGGAACAATTATAGCTTCAACAAATCATTTAATGATCGTCAAAGAGCACAATTGTGGTACCTAGATCCGAAAAAAATCCATAGAGATTTGAGGTTTTAGTAAATTCTTGCCACCATATTGAGACGACCACAAAAAAAAACTTAATCCACTACACCGAAAAAAATAACAATATGTCAAATTTGAAATTATAAAGTAACCCACTTGGCGATAATGTCTAGCAAGAAATATTGGCGAGAGAAATAAAAATCTACAAAAACGCAACATGGTGTACCTAATTCAAATTAGTTCAGGAACTGAGAGTTCCAAATATTAAAAAAAATCTGGAAACCTTTCCTTTTGTTAAGTATGACAACCCATTTATTGCCAAAAGATAGTTGCCAGGAATATTTTAGTATTACCTTATAGTAAGTGTAGTAACTACTAAATCGAATACTACTAAAGTTGTTTAACTTCGTTTTTAGTATTTTTTTCGAGCCGTGCATTTAAATAAAACTATTTTAACGGTTTAATCTTAAGGTTTTTTATTAATATTATGATTTTTCTGACGTTTTGAATACCTTATAATTTTTGTGGTCATGAAAGACGGTCAGTCGAAACATTAGAAATAACATGACAAAGATGAATGCGAGATTATGTTTTTTGTTTTCTATTTTTTTTCAATGGACATTAAAATTCGTTATTGTTTATCTGTACGTTCCCATGTATTGTTCCAATATTGTCGCTTAATGCTTAAATAAAATTAACGATTTATAATGAACTTGTTTTGAACTTGTTGAAAAAGAAACATCAAAGCATCAAAATTTTAAGTTGTCATAACCTAAACCAAAAAGAAAGAAAAAAAAACGCTTACTGTACACATATCGATCGTTGTGGCTAAAGCGTGCTTAGTGCGAGTTTTTTAACGTTTTATCGTTCTCGATAGCGTAAAAGCGAACTCAATTTTTTTATTGTATACAGTTAGAACAATGCCCCTAGCGGTAAATCCCCAAAGCCAGATACCGTCTTTTATGTAGACATTTAGACTTCAGCCCAGTGATGGATTTACGCCTAGGCGCGTAAGGCGCGTAAGGCGCGTAAGGCCACACTACGGTTTTTTCCCGGGAGCGGTTAACCGCTGTAACCGCGAAACCGCTTAAGACACACACACTACAATTATTAACCGCGAATGCGCCCGCGATTTTAAGTTTGAAGATGGATAAATTTCAAAAGAGCAGTAGCAGTGTGGCTCTGGTACTAAGAAATAGATAAAAAGACAACGAAAATTTCACAAATGTTGGGTCTAACCACTTACTAGCCGTAGATTTGAGAAAGGTTTCTTTCATAAGAAATATCAAAATTTAAGAAAACCCCTAGAGAATTTTTTCAATTACTATCGGATGTCAGTAGCCAGTTTCATGGAAATAAAATTTCGCAAATGTATTTGACATTTCAAAAAACCGCCCGCGGTTACGCATAGTGCGTGCACGGATACCTAGTTCTATGGATTACAAATTTTGTTGCGGTTTTTTTCCGCGACAATTTTGTAACATTTTGCGGTTTTAAAATCAGTCGCGGAAAAAAAGCGCAAGTGTGGCCGCTTGTATTCGTTTTCGTGTTTCATAAACTCACACGGTTAATAGCCGCTGCGGTTACAGCATAGTGCGGCCTAGGCCTAAGGCCTAAAGCCTAGGCGGCATGATTTGAGGGATGCAAAGTTTTTGAAATGCCAAAATTCAATCGCAAAAAATTTAAAGACTCCTTTGAAAATGAGGCAAGATTAGTTTTGATAAAATATTTAGTTATTTTAAATCTATATATATCAAAATGAATTGCTGTTCGTTAGTCTTGCTAAAACTCGAGAACGGCTGGACCGATTTAACTAATTTAAGAGAATTATTTGTGGAAGTCCAGATAAAGGTTTAAAAGGTAGATAAATATGAAAATGCTCGGAATAAAAAATAATTTTTTTTTTTTCCTTTGATGTGTCTGTCCCCCGTCGGACAGATTTCTTTTGTGTAAGTTTATGTCTTTTATTTATCGATTGAGGCACTACGAAGTCTGCCGGGTCAGCTAGTTTAAAACAAAAATATTGGATAAAAATTTAAAAAATTTATTCTGACATGGCCCCATGGACATGGGTGGCGTGGCGAGATAAATAGGGCCTAGGGCGGTATGAAGCCTAAATCCAGAGATTATACATTTAATATATTTGAGACCTAAATCCATCACTGCTTCAGACGTAAACATGAACAACATCCACGATTAATATTTTTTATTAAATATTATAAATGTACATGTTACAAGCATACATGTAAAAAAATTGCTTAGTTTTCAACAGACAAAAAAACGAAGATCTTCTAAAAGTTTTGGAATTTTTTGTTCTACTAATATTTTAATTACCTAGAAGTTTTAATTAGTTGCAGAAAACAACATATTAAATGACGGCGAGAATGCAGTCACTCATTGAAATTCTCAAATGTCTTACACAAAGTCTTAAAAAAAAGGTTTTATTTCGAAACTTATTACTCGTAGGCTCATAATGTGTTAGTATATTATATTAACATAACAACTATGTTCGTAAATATTTATTTTAAATTAAAGTATATCAAAATACGACCCTCTCTTTATATTTGTTTTCTAGTGATGACAGCTTTATAGCAGAAATAGGTATGTTTGATGGCAGGCTTATTATAGTCCCTAACTCTACCAAATTTTTTCTTAAATGCTTATTACGGTTGTTTCTTTTGGCTCGTTTGAGAAAATAGATCATTGTATTTTTAGTGCGCGCGGATGTAACATATAATTCATTTCATTGTATAAAGATCGTGTATGCTAATTTGAGGTCGCCTAATGTAAGTATTATTTATGAGAAAATTTGATTAGATTATACATCTAATCTACTGTCGATAATTCCTTACGCCAAAGAAATATAACGTATTGTACTGTGTACATACACCCACGTTTATCTCACGTAATGTTTTCCGTAATTTTGAACTACGCCGTGCCAAATAATCTACTAATTTTTCCCTTCAGAATGCTAGCAAGCAGCGCTGTAGATAATTTGTGAAAATGCGTGTTTCATTCCCTGAACTAAACTATTTTTAGACATTTTTTCTGTCAAGGAGCCATTATCTCTCGATAACGTATCTTCGAGTTCACGGGTCAACGACGTATTTACAATTCAGCTTAAAATGTAGCTTCAAGCAGCTGCATTTATAAAGCAAGTAATATCTACGTTTAATACAAAGCGCTGCGCTGTTTAGCAGCGGTTTGATACACGGTACTTCTATCAAATCCTATCGCATTGAAAAAGTTAAACCGCGCGAATGTTTATTATAATATAAAGTTGAATCGTGGTTCGTGTAGTGAGTTGTGCGTGCCAGTGATGAACTATTGAATTTGGTGATGTAATAAGGTAACATTAATGTCAATTGGAGTGTATTGTTGGGCGAATCAAATCGCGAACGGACGTCGGGTGATTCGCTGCGGTGGACTATTCGGGCGGGAAATGGCGCGCACGTTTTAATATTTTTCATAACGTCCGTCTATGCTAAATGCTAGTGGAATATTGTGAAAGCTTTTTATTCTCATTAATAGCGTCGGTAATAAGTGTTGTCACGTTTTGTTATATATTTTTTGAATACGTTTGGAAATTAATCGAAGTAAACACGGGTAAGTTTTGATTTGTTTTTTCTTTTTCTTTCAGTTTTTAAATGTAAATGTTTTTTTTATTGCCATTGTAGGCAGACTAGAATACGGGCCACATGATGATGAGTTGTTACTGTCAAGGACATCTCTAATACCAGAGGCACAACTTGCCTGCCATTGAGTACTCTCGCTAACCTCGTTTGAAGAAGGAGTCTCATGGTACTCAGGAAACACCATAGAGGGAAGTTCGTTCTAAAGCCGGATGGCGCGTGGTAAGAACGATATCTGGAAACGCACTGTGGATTAAGGTAGCGGTTCTAAGTGGTATGGATGAACTCTATTCCGGTGGCGGGCGGTGCGATGGTAAAAACGAGAGGTCATCTCTAAACGACTAACTCGGTGATGCGGTAGTTAGCGGCCCTGATTATTGCGCCCTTGATCGTGGGTTTGATTCCCACATCGGACAAACATTATTTTTTTATATATTTTTCTTTTGAGTAATATAGAGAGAATATTCTTTATTTTAACAAAAAAAAAACATTGCGGAACATTAAATACAAAAAAAAGTACAATTGGCGGTCTTATCGCTAAGAGCGATTTCTTCCAGACAACCATCAGCTGGAAAAGAATCGTTTGGAAACTAATTACACGCGGTGTACCAATCAATTGAAATGCATGTACATACACACACACAAACAAGGTTCGGTTTCGGTTTGAAGGGTGGGGGCAGCCGTTGTAACTATACTTGAGACCTTAGAATTTATATCTCAAGGTGGGTGGCGCATTTACGTCGTAGATGTATATGGGCTCCAGTAACCACTTAACACCAGGTGGGCTGTGAGGTCGTCCACCCATCTGGGCAATAAAAAAAAACCACCTTTAGGTACATACAAATCAAGATAATAAAAGCGTACCAAAATAGAACACTATACATAAACTCGAATGTGGTTATGAATACGGTACGTTTATTACCATTATTGTATAATTCCTCAGAGAACCGAAGCCTCTCCCTAGACCCAGAGAGGCTTTGATTAATCTGTGAGACGTAATCATAATAACAAGTCAAATCGCGACCCGTTTAATGTATTCATAGCACCGGTTTTTAAACTACGTCAGTATAGTAATAAATTTGGTAGGTTTTTTTTTTGTTTATTTGTTGGAGATTTCTTAAGCACTTTACCTTTGAAGTTGTGGCGGCAGCCCATACAAGACAAGATATTGGACAGTTGCCTGAAAGATTGCTTACGACATTTTCAAGATGAGCTTGCATATATACACGTTCCGAATAACAAAATTTAGACCATCGCGTCGGTCTACCGAGCGATATTACCCGCTCGGTGGAAGATCTTCCTTATGTCGTTAAACCTACAAAGTTATCGTGGTCGAAAAGATAAGACGCCGCATTCCTATCGAGCGATGCGATGGTGCCAGTGTTCGAATCCCGCATGGAGGTACAATTTTTTCTATAATATTGAAATTCGTAATTAGCTAGTGTTCAAAAATGACTTCCACGGTGAAGGAATAACACCGTGAACAAAATTTCGAACCTGAAAAAATGAAGTTTGCGTGATTACTATGGGGGTAGGACGTCTTGTGAGTCCGCACGGGTAGGTACCACCGCCATGCCTATTTCTGCTGTGAAGCAGTAATGCCTTTTGGCTTGAAGAGTCGGGCAACCGTTGCACTGTAAAACACATATACCTAGTCCAAACATAAGTTCCGTGACAAATGAATATGCATTTTTTTATAAATGTAGTTATGTAATATTATCAAAATTTATACCTACATATTATTATTTATTAAAATTTCAGCAAAAAATAAACAAAAAAATCTATTTGAAATGGTCACCTTTGGCTTTTATACAGGCCTTTAATCTGTTTGGCCACGAATCTATGGATTTACGCACTGTTTCCAAGGGAAATTTCGCCACTGCTTGCTCCAAAGAGTTTTTAAGAGACTGAATGTCGCCGTGTCGTATAGAGCAGGCCATGTTCTCTAAAACTGATCATAATTTGAAGTCTAAAGGGTGGAGGTCTGGGCTAGATGAGGGCCAGTCTTTAACTCTTATAAAGTCCAGAACGTTGGTTTCAAGCCAGGCTTGGGTAGTTAGTGCCTTGTGACCAGGTGCAGAGTTCTGCTGGAAAGTCCACGGTATATTTTAAAAAGTGTATTGCTGAGAGGTTTCGCAACATGATCCAAGACTGTATCTTGATACACTTTGGCTGAAGTTTTCACTTCTTTATTTCTGTGGAAATGTACTTTTGGGGCTCCTTGATAAGACACATCCACCAAACCATCACTAACGCAGGATAATGACCACGTTGTACCTTTCCGACCACTTGAGCAGCTTCTTTAGTACTTGACGAACGTCAAATGACAAACCGTTTCTTTAGTTACAATTCACGCAAGAGGGAGATTAACTTTGGTGAGTGGAGGTAAGGAGAACTGTCAAGGGGGTGAGGGAGGGACAATTAGAATTAGTGTCTAGCTATAGGCATTGAATTAAACCTCAAAAGCCCACCAAAACAACGTTAGAATAGCAAATAGTATGTAGGAATTTACGACAAAGGGAAGATCTTCCACCGAGCGGCTGATATTGCTCGGTAGAACGACGGTCCGAATGCTGTTGTTCGGAACTTGTTTAAATGCGAGCTTATCTTGAAAATGTCGTAAGCGAGATTCAGGCATCTGTCAAATATCTTGCGTTGTATGATGGCTACCCGCCAAAGTACAATATAACTGTAGCAGTTATGAACGGAGCGTAGCGTGCTAACTTGAATATAATTTTGGCGCAATCTTTGATGACATCACTTCGTAAGACAGCGACATTCTAACCCTAAGAGTTCGACGTGCGAACTGGCCCAAAAACATAACGCACTGAGTTTCTCGCCGCATCTTCTCAGCGGCTCGCGATTTCGAGTGGTAGATTCAGTGAAGCGCTAGCCAAAGTCAGTGTTAGCAATTCTTTCACGCTGAGCCCGTGAGCTTACCTACCGGTCCGCGCGTAGTTGGAATAGCCCCTTAGTTTACCAACAAAAAAGCCAGAACGCATAAAGTTTGCGCAATTACCGACCCCAACAATCTTTAAAAGGGACTTTAACATAAATTCAAATGATTATCCATTCAGAATTCTTGTGTGATTTTTAACACAGTCCGTCACCACGATTTTTTATTTAATTTGGCCCTTGTAGGCATACGACCATACGTCTCACCCGATGGTGAGTAGTTACCGTCGCTCATGGACTTCAGTAATGCCAGGGACAGAACCAAACCGCTGCCTGAGGAAAAATGTATAGAATTCGAAAGCTTGGAAACGATATTTTGAATATTATTCTTTCCTACCTGTTCTAGTAGCCTGGAGGGGCTATACTAGGTTTATCTAACGCGTAGGCGAGCTCACGGGGCTCAGCCTGCCGAATTTGCCAATACTAGCCCTAGCAAGAGCTTTCGCTTTGAGAGGATCCGGCGAAAAACTCAGTGGCCTATGTCTATGGGTTAGTTCGCCATTTGAACTCTTCGTCGAACGTTTGAGTAGATATGCTGCTATTACGCATGTCGGTGACGCAAACTCACAAAATTGAACCCATCCAAAAGCGCTAACAAGCACAGTATTAATCGCAGTTCACATTGTAATTGAGCTCTTTGTGTGAAGTACTGGCTTTGGAATGAGCTCCCCTCCGCGGTGTTTCCCGAGCGCTATGACATTTCCTTCTTCAAATGAGGCTTGTGGAGAGTACTTAACGGTAGGCAGCGACTTGGCTCTGCCCCTGGCATTGCTGACGTCCACGAGCGACGGTAACCACTCATCATCAGGTGGGCCGTATGCTCGTCTGCCTCCTCCTCCTCCTCGCGTCGTTTTCCTTATTACTGAGGGTCGTTACTGCCTCGCTGCATCAGTTTCTCCCGTTCGATTTCCCTCCATCTGCTGCGATCCTTAGCTTCATGAAGGGCATTGTGGAAGTTGATGTTCAGAGAAGATCGTATTTGGTCCGACCATCTCGTGGGACTGCGTCCTTTGGGACGTTTGCCATCTACCTTTCCTGTCACCATCAGCTGTTCTAGGTTGTGGCCCTCTTTACGAGCAATATGTCCGGAGAATTCCAGCACCCTACGAAGGCATATAGTATAGGTATAGCTCGTCTGCCTGTACGGCAATAAAAAAAAAGTAACTTTGAACGAAATATTCAAGTGTCTCATAAGGTTTGCTTAACTTGAAAATTTACGCACGTGTCAAGGATCGTTGTCGATACAATGCTTGTATAATTTCGCTCTTTAAGCTAGATCGATATCGACAAGATATTATAACGCTTCTAATATACCTAGTCAGGTCATCAATTCTGTCACATGTTCAATGTAAAATAATTGAAACAAGTTTATTCATTATGTAACCATTTATATACCAAAATGAACTTAACAAAACATAGATTCTTATGACACTAAAGTTTATTCAAAATGACCTACGTGATTTTGAATACAGGCCTTCAATCTGCGCGGCCAGTCGTCTATCGCAGCACGAACGAGGTCCATGTCAGTATCGGCGGCTGCCTTAATCAAGGATGGCTTGAGTGACTCCAAATTGGGATGAGGCTTTGAGCACGCCTTTTCCTCCAAGTGTTGCCATATCTTGTGATCTAACGGATTCAAATCTGAACTGGAGGAGGGCCAGTCTTCGTGCCGGATGAAGTCGATTTCACGCGCCGCCAGCCAGTCTTGTGTGCTCTTCGCTCTATGAGCTGGCGTCGAATCTTGTTGGAATACCCAGTGCCTGTTATTGAACATGGTATGAGAAACAGGTTCCACAAGGTTCGTCAGGACTGTATTTTGATACACAACTGCATTCGTTTTTACACCTTTCTCACAAAAATGTACCTCTGTTAAGCCCCAATAAGAAACTCCCAACCATACCATGAGCGAGGATGGAAAATGACCTCGTTGGACACGCGGAATACGGTTGCTCGCTTCTTCACTACTGTGTGCGTACACCTTATCATTTTGTTTGTTGTAGCTCAAGAGAGCTACAACAA